CATCAAATTATTCACTACCATTCCTTTTCCTCAGTTGACTGGAAAACGGTCTAGCAGCCTCATTCTATTATTTAGGCCAAAGGGCAAGATCAAACACACCAACACAACAGATTCCCTTCTGGACTGTTCCATCAGAAGAGAAATAACATCAAAATGGTTCTTAGGAATGTGTCATATATTTAATAACAAAGTAAAGCTTTCCTGACAAAAATGAACTAAAATACAGAAATTAAGTCCAGTGCCCAGTGGCTCACCGCGTAATCCTAGATACTCAGGGGACAGAGATCTAAGGATCAAGGTTTGAAGCTAGTTCAGGTACAAAAGTCCATGAGACTCTAATCTCCAAGTAACTGCCAAAAAACTGGAAGTAGAGCTATGGCTCAACTGGTAGGGCACTAGCCTTGACCACAGCACCCAGGCCCTGAGTTCAAACCCTAAGCCTAGCAAAACACACACACACACACACACACACACACACACACACACACACACACACACACACAAATTAAAACTTGAAAATAATGCAAACAAGATTTTATAAATGTAAATCTTTGAAAAAGTACAACTAATCAATCACTTCTCTTTTTCTGCCCTTTTTTTTCTTTTTTGGGGGGTGTGGGGAGTCTTTAAAAAAATATTCCATTAGGATTATGGACACTCTGTTGAAAATGAATTATCCAACTTGTAGATGAGGGATAGGAGGGATAAACTGGGAGAGAGCAAGGGAAAGGGTGACATTGTCCAAAAAGAAACTTATTCATTACCTGACTTATGTAACTGTAACCCCTCTGTATATCACCATTATAATAACAATAAAAACCAAAAATAAAACATATACCATTAATACAATCATCAGTTTGTATGACACTGGCTTTTATAAGGATTCCTCTTGTTATAGTTTACATTAAAGATCTAAGATAGCTGGGCATTGGTGGCTCATGCCTGCAATCCTAGCTACTCAGGAGGCTGAGATATGAGGATTGCAATTCAAAGCCAGCCTGGGCAGAAAAGTCCCTGAGACTCATCTCCAATTAATCACCAGAAAACCAGAAGTGGTGCTGTGGCTCAAAGTGGTAAAGTGCTAGCCTTGAGCAAGAGTTCAGGGATAGTATTGAGGCCGCGAGTTCAAGCCCCACGACTGACCAAAAAAAAAAGGGGGGGGGGAAGATGAGGAGAGAGAAAAAAGAGATCTAACATACTCATTTCAAATTACAGTTACAGTGTGAGTGTAACAACTCTGTTTTTTCTTGTTTTTTTTCATAAAAAACAAATTGAACAAACTGAATAAATGTGAAACACTGAAAACTATGTAAAAACAGAAAAATAAGAACAACCTAGTCCTAAAAAAATCATACTTTTTATGAATTGAAATAAAATTAACAATCTACAATGAAATCCATCTAATAGTACCATTATAATACATTTTCCACAAAATGACTATTCAGCCTCAGATTTTATAAAATATATAATCAGCTAGAATAAAAGTTGAAAGATATCATAAAGCATTTAACAAGTTCTCTAGGCCTTGTAGCTGGAGCATAGCATCGACTGTGCCAAGATTGTGTTAGGGCAGGTAAAAGAACTGATTCCCTCTACTTCCGGGATAGCTGGGTAGAAAGACCAGTCTGGCTTGAGGTGTTAAGAGCCTGTAATGTAATATTCCAAGCTTCATCAGCTCATTTCACAGGCTGTACAAACTACTACCATGTTCTTCTATGTGTTTCCTGACATAAAGAAGGTCTGAGAAATCCTGCACACAAAAAAATCCACCAACACAAGAATCCAATCTTTCCTTTAGTCCCTCAAAAACATTGAAAAAAATATTACTTAGCCGATATTCTCACCCAAATCAAGATTTGGAAATTCCATCTACACTTATATCTTTTTAACCTTTATATGCTTCGTGATTTTTTTCCAGAAAAGGATTTCTGATATATTCAATTCCCAAACTGTGTAAGACTTACAACCCCTAAAAACTGCTACAATCTCTAACCTCTCACTATCTACAGTAGTCTACTCAAAAATGAACTCCCAAATATGTACAATATTTAGCACTTACATGCCAGAAATAGTGTCTTCCCTCAAGAGATTACAAGAAAAAAACAGAAGTAAATAAGGTCATTTTAAAGAAAGTTCAACAGAACCATTCTTTTTACATAGGCCATCCTGGAGTTTCAAACTCAGGGCTTTACAATTGCCAGGCAAGTTGTCTACCACCTGAGCCAGTCTCCCATCATGAGGTGACACTAATGTATGATATAAACTAACATGGTATGTGTAGAGATGACAGAGAAAGGCTCTATGAGGCTAATTTTAAAATTAGCAGAAGCTAATTTTAAAAATATAATCTCAAGTGGAATTAACAAGTTTGGATATTCTAACATTGGTGATTGAACCTCAATGACATTTTTTATTCTTTAGGGCTCCTTTTCTTCACCACAAATACAAAGAAAAGGATAGGTATTTCAACATATAAAATACAAAAAGAAATTAAACTGACATAGCTATGCCCAAAACATGTTAAGCATTTCTGTGAATCAAAAATCTAACAGGAACACAAAGTGTGAGACCAGCTGAAGCAAGCCACTCTAGATCCAGATCAGGAAAAAGCAGCAGGAGGTTTGCCCCTATGGGATAAGTGTAAAGAAAAGTGTTCCATATAAAGCAGACTCAGGAGCCAGGACCTGGGGTGGCACTCTTCCATGAGTATAAAGTAGGTTAAAAAAGAGTTCTGCCAACCCTGCTGAGCCTACAGCTTACAAGAAGTTGCTGACCTAATGCCAGCTGATTCAGTGACAGAATTTGTGATGTCCCCAATGTCACCATGGAGCAGGGGCTCTGATCCACTAACACAGAGCCAATTCTGATCTCAAAACAACTACAGATGTAGTTGTCTCTAAGCCATAAAGAACACAGGACCAAAAAACACAGAGAAGGGAAAGATAAAGACATAGGACCAAAATAATAATAATAATAATAATAATATTTCCATCACAATATGGCTGCAAAGCTACAGAAAACAGGTTTTCTTTAAAAAAAATCATGGAGAAAAAGGAATTGTAGAAAGACAAGGACACGGCAAAAAAAAAAAGTAAAATAAGAGAAATGAAAAAGAACTAGTGGACATAAAAAAGAATAAATTAAAAACTATTGTAAATGAAATATAACCACTGTAATTTAAAAGTAGAATTTTTTACACTATTAGGCACCTAACATACCATGATCCTCTCTTCCTTTTGCCATCAACCTCACAAGGCTGATTTTCAAGTGGAAAATACACTGTGTCAAACACTGAGATTCAAATTTAAAAAGCTTAAGCTACTTTTCCTCAAAACAACACATTCTTGACAAGTCATGTAAACAGACCCTAATATTACTAAAGTAGAAGAAAGTTTAGTTACCTACCCAAAATGTAAGTCAAAATTATCAACTCATTACCACCTTATCTAGTTAGAGGTTTACATTAAATAAGAATTCTCACAAAATTTCCTGAGTGGTCTAAAATAACAAAGGCTGCTTCTTTCCTAATTGGTATTTGATTGATTGCACCTAACAACTATCCTTGTTTATTCAAATTACACCAACCAGAAAGTTATCCCACTGAATGTTTGGAAACTCAAGTCCACTTCTTATAATATTCTTAGTCGAAACTCAAAGATCTCACAATAATAAGAAGCTCATTTTCATTTATCAACTGCCCTAATTAATTAAATTGTTAAGAAGAGCTGTCCTAATTCATCTTAAAGGAAATGAAAATAATTCACACAAAAATTAAACTCTAACATATTCTAATAAGGAAATACTCCATCCCAAAGTTTCCATAATCAGAAAATATATACTTTAAAACATGCCTGTTTTCCTAGCTACTTGGGATCTGAGGACCTCAGTTCAAAGCCAGACAACAAAAGTCCTTGAGACACTTATCTCCGATTAATCACTAAAAGCTGAAAGTAAAGCTGTGCAGCTCAGTGACAGTGTCAGCCTTGAGCAGAAAAGCTAAGGGACAGCACCCAGACCAGAGTTCAAGTCCTAGTACTGGCGCACGCGCACACACACACACACACACACACACACACACACACGCACACACACACACACACACACACACACACATGCACATGCGCGCGTGCGCGCACACACACACACACACGACTTCTTTTACGACTCCAACTACAGGAAAATCTCAATTCTTTCCTTATCCTCTAAAAGAAATCAGTTAACACAAAATAGTAAATCCAATTTTATTTTTATTTTTTTTTGGGGGGGGTCCGGTCGTGGGGCCTGAACTCTGGGCCTGCGCGCTGTCCCTCAGCTCTTCAGCTCAAGGCTAGCACTCTACCACTTGAGCCACAGAGCCACTTCCGGCTTTTTTCTTTTTGCTTATGTGGTGCTGAGGAATCGAACCCAGGGCCTCATGCATGCAAGGCAAGCACTCTCCCACTGAGCCACCTTCCCAGCCCCAAGGGGGCATACCATCCAGAAGTACCCACTATTGTCCAATTTTATTTACAAACAGAAGTGAATCAAAATGGAGAGTAAATATTACATATACTTTCTTCTTACCACTGAGAAGACAAAAATGTTTATTAAATTTGGCTAAGTCCAGAATACACCGGTGTCTTTGTTCCATTAAAGGCATTAATAGTTTTATTTGGTGAAGTTTATTAACTCATTACCCAGTAATTAAATTTCACACAATAAAACCTTTTCAATTATAGTCAACTCCAATATTTCCTATTCAAATTTCTAGAGTCATTCTTAAATGGCTAGTCAATAGAAACTTTCAAATGATAGAACTAAATCAACTAAGAAACTAACCACAGGTTTCCTTATTATGTCTAACATCTTAGAATAAAAACATCAAAAAGTATTTCCTTACTTTAATACAGACAAGTATTAGGGCTAACCATAATTCCAATTTATCTAATGATACCTTTTTAGAAGTAGCACACTACAAACACTTTGGATACAGGTCAAATGAAACAAAGCAGCACACTTACTCATGACTGGAAATGTCTCTGTATGTTTTCCCAATCCAATATTAAACCAAAATCTACTGTCCAGGGCGTCTCAGAGGAATGCATGTCCTATTCTGAAAATGAGAAAGAAAGAAATTATATTATCTAAAGGTCAATATTTAAGATAAGGTCTTCTAAAGGGAAACAAAAACAATTTCATCTAAAAAATTTTTCTATTTTCAGAATCCTTTTCCATCATTTAATAAAATCTAAATACAATTGCTAGTCAAACTTCAGAATATTATGATTCAGTTCACATCTTCCTTTATCTGAAACAAGATACTCAAAAAGTAAGTAATGCCAGGCACCTGTGTCTCATGCCTGTAATCCTAGCTAACTCAGGAGGCTGAGATCTGAGGATCATGGTTCAAAGCTAGCCCGGGTAGAAAAGTCCCCGTGAGTCTCTTATTTCCAATAACCCCTTAAAAACTGGAAGTGGTGCTGTGGTTCAGTTGGTAGAGTGCTAGCACTGAGCACAGAGAGGCTCAGGGACAGTGCACAGACCCTGAGTTCAAGCCCCACAACCGACCAAAAAAAAAAAAAAGTAATACATTTAAGGTATTACCATATAGAAACTTACTGATAATTCTCCACCAAAACTTATTCTCTATCCTCAACTAAGTCATAGAAAATACCAAATCTGCTAAATCCATTCAATCTCATACAAATGATTTGTATCACATCAAATAAAGGTCACCAAAGTCATGCTATGGACTTTCTCATTTAAATTTCTCATTAAATGAAAAAAGGGAGGAGGAAGCAAAGCAAAAAAGGTTTTCTGTAATAACCCTACATTTACCCAACCATGTGGGCACAAGTCCCTTCAAGGTGTTTTTCCCCTAAGTATTTTTAAAATATTTTTATAAGGATGTGCCAATGGCTCACACCTGTAATCCCTACTACTTAGGAGTCTGAGAATGTTGGGATTGTAGTTCCAGGCCAGCCTGAGCAGAAAAAAGTTCCTAAGACCCTTTTCTCAATAAAGAGCTAGAAACAGTAGCTTCTTGTTATCCTAGCTACCAGGAAGCCTGACATGAAAGTGGATCTCCCTCAAACATTCACCCAGGAAGCAAGATCCTATCTCAAAAATAAGGAGCAAAGGTCAGGACTAGTGATGTGGCTTACTGGTTAAGAACAACTGCTTAATAAACATGAGGCACTGAGTTCAAACCCCAGTACTGGCAAATACTACATTATTTATTTGATAAAACATTACACTGAAACTTTCTTAGGTAGTTCTTTCCACTCAAGAATATAAAGCAAGTCAGAGGCAAGTGCCTCATGCCTGTAATTCTGGCTCCTTGAGAGGCTGAGATCTGAGGACTGCAGTTCAAAACTAGCCCTGGCAGGAAAGTCCATAACACTCTTATCTCCAATAGCCAGCAAAAAGCCAGAAGTGAAGCTGGGTCCCAAGTGGTAGAGTGCACAGGCCCTGAGTTCAAGCCTCAGTACATGTTCACATACACACTCACAAAGTATAAAGCATCAGAGTGGGAATTGTGGCTTAGTGGTAGAGTGCTTGCCTAGCATGCATGAGGCCCTGGGTTCGATTCCTCAGCGCCACATAAACAAACAATAATAATAAGGAAATTTCAAAATAAATCTAAAAAAAAAATAAACCACCAGTCTATGAGCTTCAAAGCTCATAGAACTTGATTTTTAAAAAAAGTATAAAGCATCATGCTGTATTAGGATTAATAAACAACCTCTCAGTAAGATTTATATTATAACCCTTCCTTTCTTATTATTTAAATGAGGCATAAATACTAATAGTATTTTAAAATATAACTACAGATGCACAAACGCCTGCCTAAATCTAATATATAAATTTCACAGGTAAGATAAGATCACATTTGATATAAAATTCACACTTGTGCTATATCACACGCATAATTTCCTTCCTAAACCAATAACCCACTTCCTATAATCACAAAAAGTGCCAGTGATTTTATTTTCTAAATCAATTAAGGAAATAACATAATACTAAGTCTCTCTGCTGTAACACTTTTTAAAAAAAGAAATAATACTAAGAGGGTAAAGAGTAAAGAGAGAGAGGGAGTCAGACTGAGTGGGATACATTATTTGCAAGTGCAGAAATAACACAATGAACCTCCACTTTGTGAAATTAATGTATGCTAAAAAGCAAAGACTTTTTTAAGCCTGAAAGAAAGTTTGCCTCATATATATACTCTCTACTCATGTCATGTAATACACATGGGAAATATGCATTAACAAGATGAAAAAGACTGCATCAACATGTGTATACACTGTAATTAGCAGTGGCATATAATCACAGTTGTACACATAATCACCTAAAAGCTGACCCAGTTTTTGTTTTTCCTTATCTGTGCACTAGTAAGTTATTTCCATTTCCAGATAACTCAATTATCCCAAGTAAAAAAGAAGTTGTATGGAAAACCAAAAACAACATATAATCAACCTGTTAGTTTTGTAGTACAAGATGAAAGTTTCTCATGATAAGTACACTACCATGATGTCACTTGAATGAGTCTATTAGGACTTGTTTTCCTTCCTTGGAAACTAAGTGGAACATGCTGACCTGGAAAATGCTGAATGATGACAAGGAAAGGCTTGTCCATGCTTCAAATACACAAAGTACATGGAATGTTCATGCATGGCCCACTTGCATTTATACTTATACAATCTAGTCTCTTTACCCAGGGACTCTCCTCCTTAGTCATGTTTATATCAAAATTTTATCTTAAATTTTCCAAATGGTAACATCCAAATACTTTGTACTAGAAAATGTCCCATCCCTCCCGTAATTATAAGTAGGTGAATGAACAATTAACCTAAGGATTTAAGTAAAAACATCAAGAGTTTTCTCAGCACTCAAAAGCGCATCCTCAAGATACCACCAAGATCTCAATAACACCCAGATAAGAAAACTTACAACCCAGGCACTTGTGGCTCATGCTTATAATCCTAGCTACTCACAAGGGGAAATCTGGGGGGTCAAAGTTCAAAGCCAGCCCAGGCAGGAAAGTCTGTGAGAATCTTATCTCCAATTAACCACCAGAAAACTAGACATGGAGTTGTGGCTCAAAGTGCAGAGCACTAGCCTTAAGCAACAAATCTCAAGGACAGAGCCCAGGCTCTGAGTTCAAGCTGGATGACCAACAAGAACAAAAAAAAGAAAAATGTATGAACACTGGATTCATAAACTCATCATTTAAAGTAATAAATGTACCCATCTTACATTTATAAATATGTAACACATTTATTAGAATTTAAGATAGAATTCTTAGAAACATTACGAATGAATTACAACTGGGGTCACTTTTTCAAGAGTCTCTGTGCTAATTACAGCATTATATTCTCAAACCTATTTTTTCAGGTAGGTTATCTATCAGTTCTTTTAAGCAGTAGCTTAAGATAAAATGAGATTTCCCTTCTCCCCTAAACACTGTTTTTCAGGCCATCCAAAAAAGAAAAGCTAATGTGTCATACATTCACAATTTCACATACAAGATAGAGTGGGATACTTGTGCAAATTCTGAGCTTTACTCTCCCATTTTCAAGTATTTTGGGCTTTGGGAAAATGGTCATATGCTTTGCTGTTGTAAAACTGACTACCCTCTCCAACTGGAGGTTGTAAAAGCTCATGTGCACTCTCCTGAACTCCTGCAATGCACCCAAAGAAATATACACCCCAGGTAGTCCCAGTAGAAGCAGATACCTGGCATATTACTGAAGCTAACATACAGCTTTTTTCCAAATCCAGCCAAACCCAAAGTCAGCAGATACCATTCGAAATGAGTACCTTATATGCTACTGAAAGTTTGTAGTTGTTACACAGCATTATAGCCAAAGATGACTAAAACAGAAAATATAGTAACTTTAAAAGCATATTTACTATCATTTCAAGTTAAGAGTCGCATTTAAAAATCTGGTCATATACTATTAATAAGAAACATTTAAATCACTACAACACTACAGGTTACAAATAAAAATTTGAAATGTTTATCGGACAAACCAAAAGAGAGACATGATAATAGTAACTCAAACTGTTCATGGGGCTTTGTGTAGCTTAGTGGTAAAGTGTTCACCTGGTGTGGAGTTTAATCTCTTAACTCTGAAAAAAAAGAAAAAAGAAGAAAAGAAAAGAAAAAGAAAAACAGTTTTTTAAAGAATGGGAAGGAATGGGCTGGGAAAGTGGCTCAGTGGTAGAGCGCTTGCCTCCCATGCATGAGGCCCTGGGTTCGATTCCTCAGCACCACATAAACAGAAAAAAAAAAAAAAAGCCAGAAGTGGTGCTGTGGCTCAAGTGGTAGAGAGATAGCCTTGAGCTGAAGAGCTGAGGGACAGCGCCCAGGCCCATAGTTCAGGCCCCACCACCAACAACAACAACAACAAAAAAAAAACCACTCATAGCAATGTTATTTTTGATACTAAAAAACTAAAATTGTCATCTGAGGGATTATCTTTTTATATGCAAATATGCAATGAAAAATGAACCAAATGTATGTATATCAACAGGTCTCACAACAATTAGTGATAGGTACGTACATTTGTTATATTAGTTATATATGTGTATTCGTAGTTACGATGAAACAATGATATCCTTTATTTAAACAATGGCAGTAAAGTGAGTAAGAAAGATCTTCTAGCCTGGGACTGGCCTAAGCTGAGAGGGATGTTAGTCTTTATGCAACATATTACATATAGTGTTTTGTATGAATCACATATTTTACAGTTCAATATAAAAAAATTGTAAAAGAATTATAAATAAGAACATAAGTATATGAAACCACATGTACAGAAGAGTTAAATGCAGTTACAATCTTTAAGCCATAATTAAGATGCAGAAACAGTTGTAATGACTCATTTTTCCTTAAAAGACAAATACAAGTCAAAGCCAGTTCCACCTTTTATGTGAAAAGATTTATGATTATACCGTTTCCATATGTCTAACAGCTAGCTACCCAAGTTGGATCATTTGTGCTGTCTGATCACAGCTGTCTGACACTAAAGCCTCTCCTCTCCCTTTCACAGCTGTAGAGTCCTAGCTCATTTTCTATTAGAAATACCTAAAGCCTGTTTTTCTAT